ATTTTATTCATTGACTCTGCACTGGGAATGAATAGTCTTTCATTACCTTATACTTCATAAGAAGTCAAAGAGAAACCAAAGGTAGATTATCTTTTTAGCATTTTAGCCTGCTTAGTCCCACTTATTTTCCTGCCTCATCCTGGTTTCCATACTCACTGAATTAATTAGGCAGCCTGCTATTTCAAAGTCACACACTTCTACTTCGAGAGCATTGTGATTATTATTCGCTTCACAGTTGGCTTTGCTTCTCTGTAGGGTTACACGTTAAGTTTTGTTTCCCCTCCTTTAAGACAAATTATTAATAAAAGTGATCTTGCTTTATATGTTACATATTTTGAAAACATTATCATTTTTGAATATAAGGAAATAAAGAAAAAGGGTAAAATAGTTGTAATTTTAAAAGCTGCATGCATTCACTTCAGTTCTGTGTATCATTAAAGATTTTTTACAAGTTTGAAAAAAAAAGAATACAATAACATTTACATTAGTACCAACCAAAAATGTAATTATTTAGATATAAATCCAAAAAAAATCTGTAAAATATCTCCATAAGGAAAACGCAAGACTCTGATGACAGAAATCAAATAAAACCTAAATAAATGGAAAGTACATATACATGGATAGGAAGGCTCAATATTGTTAAAATATCAGTTCTTTCCAATTCAATCTATAGATCTCACATAATCTCAATTAAAATTCTAGCAATTATTTTGCAGAAATTAACAAATTGATTCTAAAGTTTACATGGAAAGACAGAAGACCTCGAATACTCAACACAGCATTGAAGGAAAGGGACAAAGTCAGAGAACTGATATTACATGACTTCAAGACTTCCTACGAAACTATAGTAATCAAGACAATATGGTATTAGTAAAAGAATAGACAAATAGATCAATAGACAGAGTACAGCACCCAAAAATAAAGTGACACAAATATAGTCAACTGACCTTTGACAAGGAGCAAAGACAATGCAGTGGAGAAAGAATAGACTTTTCAACAAATGATTCTTGAGCAATTGGTTATACACATGCAAAAAAAAAGTGCTCAAAACCAAATGTAGACATAAATGTAAAATGCAGAATTTTAAAAGTCCTGGAAGATAGTACAGGAGAATATCTAGGTGACCTTGGGTTTGGCTTTTTAGGTACAACATGAAAAGCACAATGCTTGGGAGAGAAAAATAGTAAAATGGACTTCAATAAAAATTAAAACTTCTGCTCTTTGGAAGACACTGTTATGAGAATAAAAGGAAGCCATAGAGAGGGAAAAAAACATTGCAAAACACATATCTTATAAAAGGCTGATATTCAAAATATACAAAGAAACCATAAAACTCAACATAAAAAAAATACAAACCACCCAATTAAAAAATGGGGGAAGGACATAAACAGACATCTCACCAAAGAAGATATACAGATGGCAAAAAAGCATATGAAAAGATGCTCGACATCATATGCTATTAAGGATTGTAAATTAAAACAACAATAACATATCACTATACATCTATTAGAATGACTAAAATCCAAAACATTAACACCACCAAGTTCTGCCAAGAGTAGGTAGCAACAGGAACTCTCATTCATTGATGACAGAAATGCAAAATGATACAGCTGCTTTGGAAAATAGTTTAGATGTTTATTACAAAATTAAACATACTCTTTTCATAGAATCCAGCAATCACACTCCATGGTATTTACTTAAATGAGTTGAAAATTTATGTCTTACACAAAAATCTGCACATGGAAATTTATAGCTGCTTTGTTCAGAATTAGTAAAACTTGGAAACAACCAAAATGTCCTTCACTAGGAGAATGGATAATAAACTGCAGTACATCCAGACAATGAAGTATTATTCAGTGATAAAAAGAAATGATCTGTCAAGCCATGAAGAGACATAAAGAGACCTTAAAATGCATATTGCTTAATGAAAGAAGACTCTATTTAATGGCTACATAATGTATGATTCCAACTATAGGACAGTCCCAAAATGGCAAAATTAGGGGAACAGTGAAAAGATCTATGGTTGCCAGGGAGTTAGAAGGAAAAGGAGAAATTAACAGGTAGAGCACAGAAGTTTTTTAAAAACTGCCCTAAAAAAAAACCCATCTATTAATTTAATTAATTAGACAAATAAAAATATCTAGCTCTATGGTTCACATCTTACTCTAAAACACAGTTTAATCGGGTTTAAAATATTTAAAATATTGATATTTTATATTAATTGTTAAAATTAATATAAAGAAAATGTTAAAGTATTAGAAAATACTGATAAATTTCAGGCTTTACAAGCATGACATTATAAGAGATATATAAAAGAAAGTATGCGATAAACTTTCATACATGAAAATTTCATGTTTCTGAAACAATTTGCCAAAATATTACTAATAGGCCAACAAAAACATGTTCAAACCACAGGTAATTTGAACAAATGTAAAAATAAAACAAAGGACTATTTTTATCTTATAAACCTGGAAGGAATTTAAGCAATATAAATATCTGATGTTGGCTTGGCTATGGAAAATGGAGAATCTTATACATTGCTGATAGTGGTATGTGATAGATAACTTCGTGCACTGATATACTGGTGCAAATTCTCTGGAGCAAAATTTGGCAATAATTATCAAAATCCTAAAAATAGTTTTTTGGACTCAGCAATTTCACTTCTAAATTATGCTTAGACAAGCAAATAAAGACTTGAGCATTTTAAAATAATGATACATTCACATTGTATAAGCAATGCAGCAGTTAGAAATGACAACATGATCTGTTTCATTTCCAGGAATTTGTGAGCCAAAACACCCCATCAAGTAACATACCACTATAATTTTCTAAGACGTGTGTGCAAGCACCTATGTTGGTGCAATCGCAGTTTAAAGTCTGAAGTATTCATACAGGGATGTTAAAAGTCACTGGATATAGTTTGGGGGGTCTGGGATTTTTATTTATTTTGATGACTGCAATTATCTTTTTCTTACCAGAGTGCTCAGTTTTATGTGGGTTTTTTTTCTACACTGGGCATGTATTCCTTGTGGAAAAATAAAGGGGTACAAAAAAAGATTCCTCTGGAACCCGGTGGAGCTGTTGTTACAGAGGAGGAGCGGTGGGAGGGGCCTAAGCCAACCGTTGGCCCTTGGCGGAAGAAAGATCAGGTGCAACGAGAGGGGGGAGCCGGGAAGCAGAGCCTGCGAACCTGAATGGGCCGCCTGGCAGCCTCCCAGCCAGACTCCCATCCTTTGCTTTCTTCATGAGTTGGCACCGCTCAGTGTCCTTACCCCAGGCAGTGCGTAGGGGCTCTGTGGGTTGCCCTGGCAGCCGCAGGAGTGTAACGGGTTTCCCAGGTCTTCTACCCGCAAGTCAGCGGAGCTGCGCTGTGCAGGTGCAGGAGCTCTGAATCACCTGTTATGATGCAGTCCTGTGGCCCACCAAAAAATGCGGCTCTAGAAGGGGGCAGAGGCTCAGCTGAGCTGCCAGGTGTTCAGCCTTCATTCAGACACAAGGTGTCCCATTCCTCTTATTGCCCTTTGGAGGGCCCAAAGCTAACTTCTCTCCAGTAGCCTGTTCAGCTTGGCACGTAGCTGGCAACACACTTTTCCCTTCCATAGCCAGGGGCCCCTGGCGGAGTATCTTTCCTAAGGTCCTGGGCTCAGGAGACAGTCCGCAAGTGCAGGATACCTAGACCACCTCAGGGTGTAGAGCTGGGTTCTACTATGGCGAATCGCTTTCATCTCTGAGCCTCAATTTCCTTGTTTCTAACCAGTTAGTTCTCATAGAGGACCTTCTAGGGCCAACATGGTGGATAATCTCGTGTAATTCGCAAGCAACATTAGAAGGTATGTGCTAGTTTTTTATCACCTTTCCCAATTTCAGCCAAAACAACGAAGACTCAGAGCTTAATAAACTTGTGTAAGGTCACAGAGTAGGAAGGAGTGGGGAGGGACGCCAGAACCCACACCTCTTAACTGCAAGTCTGGGAATATTTGTTGAATTCTGTCTCTGTCCGCCCCTAGGGGAGATTTCTGTCTCTCCTAGGCAGGTGGCAAGTGAGGGGCCCCAACAGGTACTAGCAGGAGCGTGCTGGGTTCTGAGTAGGGCAACCCCAAGGATTACATTGTGGGGCTCTGCTGGGGTTTGGGGTTCCTACGACGTGCTGTAGACACAGAGTCCAACAAAATCCTTGCCCTCTGAACTTCTATGAACCTGAGAAAGGCAGTAACGGCGCATCTTGGTGCTTATCAGGGTTTCTGCCCTTCTAGTGCCCATCGAGCCTTTCTGGGCAATTAATTCTCCTTGTTCCAGCGCTGCCTTCTACCTAGTGTGGATGCCATGGACCCCTCCCCTGGCTCCCAGCCTGACCAGTCCTGTCTCAGGAGGGGTTATGTGTTTCTCTCTGGATGAAAAGAAAAGGTGGGGGGCGGGAACAGAGGAGCATAAATCTGCCCATTTTTTCCTGACTTCCAGCCTTTGTACACCTGGAATTCCCCTCCGGCCATACCTGCAGCTGGACTTCTCTATGCCCTTTCTAGCCTTACTGCTTTTGAGGGTTCTCTCTACATTTTGCACAGGACCAGTTAGGGGGTAGCTTTTCCAGTCCCTAGAATGGGGTAAGGAACTTAGGGAAGAAAGCAGACAGCCCAGGGGTAGGTTGTCCCTCTGTCACAAACCATCAGTGTCAACTTCAGCTTGTCCCTTTTTCTCTCCAAACCTCAGTTTTCTCTTCTGTAAGCATGCGGGCTCCATTAAGCGTCCTGCCCTGGGTCCCTACCCAGCCCCTTCCACGGCCCATTAGCCTGAAGACCGTAGGCCAGGCTGGAGGCTCCGCTGCCCCATGGGGAACACCAGATGTGGACCCCAAGCCTCCGCATTCCCGCGATGATGCTCGTGATCCCCTCAGGAGCCTGGAGCCCCTGAGCCTACAGCCCTCGGAGCACCCGGAGCAGCGAACCGGGACAGCCTACTTTCCTGGGTGAGAGTCGGGCGGATCGGGGTGCGCGGGGACTCACCTCGCTCAGAAGGAAGGGCAGCCGTCCCCTGGAGGGATTTCTGAGAGCTGTGCTCTCGAAGCTGGTTCTGGCGCAAATTGGCCCTGGGAGGCTGAGAGGTGGGACCCGCCCTGGCCAATCTGGGAGCCTCGGCCAAATCCAGAGCTGGGAGTGGAGAGGCACCGGGAGGAGGCAACAGGGGCGGGGACTCAGGGAGGCCCCAAAGTCAATCTGGTCTGCGGTGGGAAGGACTCGCACTGTGAGTCGGCGCTGGGCGCATTACTCAGCCTCTCTGGGCCTGCTTACTTTGATACAGAAGACTTGATACGGGTCCTCCAGAATTCACAGGGCTTTGAAAAGGCCCAAACGCCCCGAGGTTCTGAGTACTTGCAAGGCTGAAGTGGTAAGACGAAACTCTCGCCAAATCCGGTAATTTTCACCCACTCACTTACTCAAAAAATAATGCGTCAAGTTCCTACGACGTGCTGTAGACACAGAGTCCAACAAAATCCTTGCCCTCTGAACTTCTATGAACCTGAGAAAGGCAGTAACGGCGCATCTTGGTGCTTATCAGGGTTTCTGCTCTTCCAGTGCCCATCGAGCCTTTCTGGGCAATTAATTCCCCTTGTTCCAGTGCTGCTTTCTACCTAGTGTGGACGCCACGGACCCCTCCCCTGGCTCCCAGCCTGACCAGTCCTGTCTCAGGCGGGGTTATGTGTTTTTCTCTGGATGAAAAAAAAAAAAAAAAAAAGTCAGGGAATAAAAGAACACAGAGGAGAATAAATCTGCCCACTGTTTCCTGACTTCCAGCCTTTGTCCACCTGGAATGCCCCTCCAGCCACACCTGCAACTGGACTTCTCTATGCCCTTTCTAGTCTTACTGCTTTTGAGGGCTCTCTCTACCTGAATTTCAGCCATCTGGACCTCTGTTCAGTGCCTGAACACATCAAGCTTTCTCCAGCCTCAGGGCTTTTACATTGGCATCTGCTGGAATGTTCCTTTCTCAGATACTACAGAAGCGTGCATGCCCTCTCTCACCTTCACATAATGATTTGCACATCAAATACCTGATGCAGAGCCTTAGAGAAGCTGTTCTAGGTCACACACTCTAAAGTCCCTCAGCCACTCTTTATCACATCATCCTGTTATACTTCCTTACTGTATACCTTGTTCATTATTTGTTTATTATCTGTCTCTACCACCAGCTTCCACTCTCTGAGGGCAGGAAACTGGTGGGATGTGTCCACTGTTGTATTCCCAGTACACAGTGATGGCACCGTGGTTCTAAATGTTTGTTGAATGGCTTCATGCCCACTTGCCAGGGTGAATACCCAAGATTGAAGTGGTTTATCTCTACTGAGGCTTCTAGACCATTCTTAGGAGCTGTCTGCTTGTTCCTTCTGCTCCAGACTCCAGGTTTCCTGGCTATCCCTCACATACACTGACCTTCCTTACTCATAAATTTCCACATGCTATTCACTTTCTTCCCCAAGGGAACCTCATTCATACTTCAGGAGGTTTCTACTTAAATGTCACATGTTCAGAGAAGATTTCCCTAAGCATACACCCACTAGAAGACAAATACCATATGATCTCACCTATAAGTGGAATCTAATCAACAAAACAAAGATGCAGGGAAAATAAGACCAGGAACACTGAAAGAAAAAAGAAACCAACAGAGACGAGAAGGAAGGAGGGAAGGGTGGGCAGGGAAAAGGAAGGGAAGGGTCAAGTCCAGGAACATATAGCAAGGACTCATGGACAAAGCCAACATGGGGAAGGACTGAGGGAGGGAGAGGGGCGAGGGGGGCAGGAGAAAGTGATGGGAGGTAGGTGGAGACAAATGTATTTGAAAAAGTAAATTAATTAATTAATTTTTAAAAATAAATCAACAAACAACAAGTGCCTGGCAATGATGTAGAGAAAAGGAAACCCTTGTGCACTGTTGGTGAGAATGCAGACTGTGGAAAACACTATGGAATTTCCTCAAAAAACTAAAGATTAAACTGCCTTTCAATCCAGTGATCCCACTGCTGGGACTATGTCCTAAGAATCCTAAATCACCAAATCAAAAGAAACTATGCACCCCAATGTTCATAGAGGCTTTATTTACAATAGCCAAGAGCTGCAAACAGCCTAAGTACCAATCAGTAAATGAGTGAATAAAAAAACCATGGTATGTTTGCACAATGGAATACTGCACAACAGAAAGAAAGAAGAAACTACTATCCTTTGCAACATCATGTATGGGACTAGAGAGTATTACACTAAATGTAATAGGCCAGGCAGTGAAAGACAAATACCATATGATCCCACCTGTAAGTAGAAGCTAATCAACAAAACAAACAAATGAGCAAAATTGAACCAGAGACTTGTAAATAAAGAACAAATGGTCAGTGACCAGAGGGGAGGGGAAAGGGGAGAAAGAGGGGAAGAAGGAGAAAGTGTAAGCAAAGGAACATGAATAGAGAACTCATGGACACTGACAATGGAGGAGGATTGACTGTGGGAGTGTAGGGGCAAGGTTGGGGTGAGCAAGGGGGAAAAAGGTAGGACAACTGTAACTGATCAACAATAAAAAATTTTTTAAAAACTATGGTACATTTACACAATGGAAGACAACAAGGTTGTGAAAAAAAGGAACTTCTACCCTTTGTCATAGCGTGGATAGACCTGGAGATTATTATGTTAAGTGACATAAACCAGTCAGAGAAAGACAAATACCGTATGACCTCACTTATTTATGGAATCTAATGAACAAAATAAACTGATGAACAAAATAAGACCAGAGGCATGGATACATGGAATAGACTGATAGATCTCAGAGGAAATGGGCATGGGAGGGACAGGGAGAAATTAGTCAAAGAACATACATGCATAGCTCATGGACATAGACAACAATGTGGTAAAGACTGGGGTGGGGCAGCAAAGGGAGGAAATTGGAGGCATCTGTAAGTGATGTGTGTGTGTGTGTGTGTATGGGAAAAAAAGAAAATGTACCAAATGAACTGAGTTAAGCTAGCTAGGAAATTTTCAGGTAGAATGGCTTCTTTGTGCTGTGAATATTAAAATGTAAGAAAAGAGAAATAAGCCAAAATGACCATTAAATTAAAAGGGACCAAAACTTACTGGTTTTGAAAATTCCCAGCTTCTCCAGGTGTCAAATGATGCTTAAATTAATAAAAAACTTCCAGGCAAAGATGTAGTCCAAGGACATGCCAGTAAAAAATGGTCTAACGTTGAAGTCAAGAATGTGCCATAAAATCCTTTGTTAAGTTCTCAAAAGATCAAAAGTGGCACCTCAGAGTTTTCTGTTAAACAGGAGGACTTCAAAGAATCTTAAAGCTGTCGTTTAGCCAAAGCCTAAAGTAGAGAAGAGTTATCTAAAGGAGTGAATCTCAGTTAGAGTCACAGAAAACATACAGGTTTTTAAAAAGAATTATATTGGCAAAACAGTGCCAGTTTGGAGTTTGGTATAAAAGGATCAGAGATAATGCAAAATAAAAAGAGACTTTCGAAACCGCCCTTCCTGCCCTGCCCCAATTCTACTGGCAAGAAGCAGTCTGAGAAAGTACACAGATGCAAACTTGGGCTACATTTCATGGAAACAAAAAGACTTGAGAGCAGAATAGAGTCCTAGGGTAGAACCAAGAGCATGGAGAGCTCAAGTCAAACTGAGTCCTAATCAAGGAACTTCCAACATCTGCCCAGCTGTGTCTAAAACTGTAGTGACTAGCGACACTCATATGCCTCCTATACCTGTCCCCTTTGAACAAGAATATCTATAATGGTTATGGTATGCCTGTCTCACCATTGTATTTTGGGGAGGTGGGGAGCAGTAATGCAGTCAACTTTTCCCTGGAACTCACAGGTTGGCAAACAGAAAGCAACTGCAGTCAAGATGGTACACTGAAGGAAATACATCCAAGGGGGCTCCTTCACATCAGAACTTGATTTGGATACAAAGATCCTGGACTTTGAGCTTATTCTGAGCTAAGAAGATACTTTGGAGGGGGGGAGGGAGAGGAGTATTAGGAAAGGGGAGAATTTTTTGCAAGTAGGAGGATTGTAAATAGCTTGTAGCCACTGAGTAGTAATTTTTAAACTCTTTGACACTCTCTCCATCAAGAAGAGGAGTACAATTTCTTGAACCCTTGAGCATGGGCTGGACTCAGTGATTTGCTTCTGATAAATGAAATATAGTGGGAGTAACAGTGTGTGGCTTCTGAATTCATCATTTCATAGACCAGAGAAATGGGGCCTGTGGTCACAGAGTGGCAGAGGCCCACTCTTCCTTATCCTAGAACTCCATGATAATCTCTGAATAAGTCATACTGAACACACCCCTGCCAGTTCAGTTCACTGTGCCAAGAATGCCCCTTTACTTCATTTCCCTGAACTTATACTTCAGGGATTGGCTGGTGTATTATCTCTTTTAGGAAGCCTTCCTGAGCTCTCCTTCAGTGAAAATTCCCATATTTATAGCACAGATTACAGTCTAACACAATTTTCCAAATGCTTGTCTATCTCTCTCAAATGCAAGTCCTCTGAAGGCAAGGACAGGGACTACTTCATCTGTGGACCCCAGAGCCCTGCATGGAACCTGACTCAAAAAAGGTAATGGTGGTTGAGTGTGGACTGAGGATGTGCCTAACAGAGAGAGCCTCTGCCTGAGCTTTCTGTAGATCCCTTGGTGGCTGGGAAGACAGTGGGTGTTTGCACAGCCTTATGTTCTGGTTAAGGAGTTGGGCTACTCCTCAAATCCAGGGACAGTTTAGAGGATGAATCTGCTCATAGCCACATGGATGTGTGACCAGATGGATAGAAAGATGGATTTACTTTTTTGTTATATAAGGATGATTCAGCTTGTCCTTTGGGAACTTAGTACCTGGGTAGTGCTATGTGTACCCTGTAAAGGAAACATTAACTTGCCAAGGTCTTTGACCTTTGGGAAATCAAAACAAGCAGAGCACATGACCTGAACTTTCTTTCCAATGCTGGGGACAGCATCCCTCCTTACTTAACTTCTGTGGCCTCCTGTTCAGCTGCAAAGTAAGACCACCCTGTGTTTCTACTTTGCCCTGTAAATTACCTATGCTATCACCTGATATCTCATCCCTTAGAACCTCTCCCCAATAGGAGCCTAGAAGTCAGGATGGTTTTCTTTGATATACCCCCTTAAAATGGCCAACATGTAATTTTACATATTCTGGCTGCTATAATGCATACTGGGTGGCTTATAAACAACAGAAATTTATTTCTTACAGTACTGGAGGCTGGAAATCTGAGATCAGGGTACCAGCATGGTTGGGTGAGGACCCTCCTCTGAGTCACAGACTTCTCATGTGTTCTCAGTTGAGGTCCGTGGGGTCATTTTTACAAGGTACCCCTTCATGAGGGCTCTACCCTCATTGCCTAATCACATCCTGAAGGCCCAACCTCCTAATACCATTAATTTGGTGGTTTAAGATTTCAACATATGAATTTAGGAGAGTCACAAACATTCAGATCATAGCACATATAAAGGTAAATATGAGTTAGCCTTAACAAAAGTCTAGACCTTGAACCAAGACACATTTGAGAATCTAGAGTCACACAAAAAAAAGTTTTTGAGGAGCTAAGTGGATGGTCAGGAACTTTGCAGCCATTCTCTTGTGAGGGCCTCACCAGCTTCAGGCAGATCCTGTTGATCCCTGTGGGGTTGTTTTGTATTTGTATCCCAGTGCCTGTGACAACTCCTAGCCTGAAAATGGCCCTCAGGAGCTCAAATGAGAATAGGGGAGAGAATCACATGCGGCCTCCCGCAGGTGCATATAACCCAGTATGAAAGATGAACATGCAGACACAACAGAAATCAGAGATGGGGGATTGATGTGAACCATCAGAGGGAAGACACTAAGCAAGGGGGTCTGGGGTGCACTAGACTTACTTGGGAAGATAAGGCCTGCAGGACTGGAATGAATTTAAATTAGGAAAAAATGAGAAAGATCCCATTTGAAGAGAAGTAAGAATGAATGCAGGGGTTGCATGAGGGCAAGGACATGGAGGTGGTTTGTAAGACTCATCACGCTTACCATGTAGCTGGTTGAGAGGAAATGGAGAGGCCTTGGGTCCTGAGGACCTGCAACATAGGATGAGGAGTCTGCATTTGATACTGAGGTCCAGTGGTAGCTAGACATGTGATTTTATAGGCCAGAGCCATTTTTGAAGCATTTCGATAACATTGTGTTGCCAACTGTGTATTTTGCAAAGTGAGAACATCTGAAAAATCAATTTCTTGAAATACTGTTCAGCCTTAAAAAGGAAAGAAATTCTGACACACACTGCAACATGAATGAACCTTAAAAACATTATGCTAAGTGAAATAAACCAGAGAAAAGAATAAACACTATATTATTCTACTTATATGAAGTCCTTAGAAGAGTCAAATTTATAGAAACAGAAAGCAGAATGGTGGTTACCAGGGGTTCGCTGGAGGAAGAATGGAAAATTAGTGTTTAATGGGTACAGAGTTTCAGTTTGGGAAGATGAAAAAGTTCTCAAGATGGACAGTGGTGATGGTTACAGAAACATATAAATTTACTTAATGCCACCAAACTGGACATTTAAAAATGATTAAGATGGAAAATGTGTTATTTCATCACAATTATTTTTTCTTTTTTTATTCTTTATCACAATTAATTTTTTTAAAAATTAATTTCCACTGGCCATCATTATAATTTCATTTTAAACCCTATTTAGCACCAAAAAACTTAAAGGGACAATTGGCCTTGTTGAAAACTCTGTCCCAGCTCATTGTTGATCTTGGCCCTGACATTTGGAAAGCAGTACAGTGGCTTTAAGGAGCAGCAGACTCTGTGTTTGAGAGACAAGGGGTGGAGAGACTGTAAAGTAGGAGACCAGCAAATAGGAGATGGCACTGATCATAGGGAGCACAGCACTTCTGTTACCATCTCTGTGTTCTAAGGGGCTGAGAGTAGGGACATGGAGCATTTATCCGACTCAGAGGAGGAAAGTGTGGAGAGAGAGCTGTTTGAGAAGAGTGGGCAAGGACACAGCCAGCTACAAGGGAGAACCAGGGGAATAATAACACCCATCTCATTCTCCTCCCTCTCTCCTCAGATCTCCTTCCAGGACTCTCTCATGTCCTTCTAGGTCAGACTATAGAGCAGAAGTAGCAAGAAAATGAGGAGAGGGGACCTAAAGATACCAGCAGGTGAGCTGATAACCATCCATTTAGGAGACAGCCTACCCAAGTTCAATGGAGGAAACTGAATATGAAGCAGTAGTTAAAGAAGCATTAGAAGAGCTGAGTGTACACACAAGTAATGGTGAGTCAGCCCAGAAATTAGCAGCAGATAGGAAACTGAAACCCTTAAGACCAGATGGTCTGACAAAGGGAAGATGAGGTAGCTGGTATCTTGTATGTTGCCAAACCCAATACACACACTTTTCTCCCCATTTTGACCTCTCCATAGCAGTCAGTGCTGTTGGCTCCCTATGTCAATTATGTACCTGGTCATTCAAAAGCCTTCCCTGATCTGCTCTGTATTTCAAAGCTCTGAAATTGGAGTCAGCTGGCACGGGAAAAAATATAAAAGTGAACCACCCGGGAACTAAGACCATGAGGGTGGCCCAGGGTGAGCTGGGATCAAGGACAGACAGCTACTCCTGGAGATGCAACCTGAAGCACAGAGGAATGATGTTGGCTCATTCTTTTCTCATCTTCCCCCAGGGCTTCCCAGTGCTTGAACAAACTGGAAGACGCTCATTTGGAAGCAGCCTGAGAAATATGGCTTGCTAAGGCCAGGTACTAACAGCATGGAATGGGTAAGGGGCATAGGAGAAAAAGGAGTGGGAACTGACTGTGGTAGTGGGGGGCAGGGAGGGATGGATGGAGTAGGGGAAAAGGGGAAAAATTGAGACAACTATAATAGAATAAACAAGATTTAAAAATAAAAATAAGAAATCAAGATGGCAGAGGAGTGAGTGGAAGTCACACTGACCTCCTCCCAGGACCAACCTGGAATTACAACTAAACTAGGGAGAAATCACCTGGAAAAAAATAACTGAATAATAGCGAGAGAGGAGCCTTTTAACCTCAGAGATAGAAGAATCGGCTTTAGCACTATCTAACTCGTAAGGAGTGTGGTAAGGTCCTGAGAAGGCAGGGCACTCACAGGCAGCAGCACCAGAAGGACATTGAAATGGCCAGTTGGAACCCCCTGAGAAGAGCAAGGTCTAAACCATAAGTGGGGATCTCTAGCCCACAGCACCAGAGCCCAAAAAGTACACAGAAAACGGCCAGCTGCAAAAAGAGGCAGGGTTGCTCTCTGCCAGAGACAGGCGGCTGGAGACACAAAGAGCCATTTAAAGGGCCAGCGCATAAATTTGTATTTGCAGCCACTTATCCTGGTTTCTGGCAAAGGCGGGGACAGAGTGAGTTGGAGACTCCTGAGGAGAGACTAGGGAAGGAGGCTTCAGGGAGAGAACTGAAAGAGTAGCTGGTGGGATCTCAGTGCTGACTCATCCCCCATGCAGCAGCAGCCATCTTGCTCAGGCAGAGACCACTGCTCCTGAGCAGCACTAGCGTCGAAGAACCCAATAACTCCACCCCCAGGTGGAATTCTACCCCGCTCTGTGCTGTATAAGCTGCCTGCTGAGTACAGAGTGGCAGCCACAGACAGTAGATCCCTGGCTAAAGGGATTGCAGAGAGGTCTCGAGAAACTTGAGGAGAGACTGGGGAAGGAAACTTTGTGGAGAGAATGGAGAGAGTAGCTGGAAGGATCCAAATACTGCTCCTCCCACATAGGGCAGCAGCGGGAGAGGACCAAATAACCCCGCCCCCAGGAGGGACTCCACCACGCCCTGAGCTGTCTAAGGCAGCTTGCTGTGTGCAGAATGGATAAATTTACAGTTGAAGGAGACAGCCACAAACAGTAGATTACTGGAAATCTTGAAAAGACTGGCTAAAGTCAGACAGCATCAACATCTGACATTATCAGAGGCAGATCCAGAAAGTAAAAACAGCGGTCTCCAACCATACAAGTTCACACCACAAAGTCAGGAGATCAAGACAGAGCAACTTAAGAATCAGAAGCAAAAAAGAAGAGTCTCACAAATAATGGGGAGACAAAGAAATATTTGAAGGGAAAGGAAAAATCCCCAGAAAGAGAACTAAATGAAATAGAGGCAAGTAAACTATCACATATTGAGTTCCAAACAATGGTTCTAAGGAAGCTCAATGAGCTCAGGGACCTCAGAGAGAATTACCAAAAATTACAGGAAAACTCTGAGGAACTTACTGCAAACTATATCAACATGAACAAGGATATAGAAACTATCAATAAGAGGCAAGAGGAAATGAAGGATACAATTTCTTTTTCTTTTTTTTCCTGTTGTTTCAGGACAGAATTTGTTTTATTTTTTTGTTATTTTTTAAATAAATTTATTTATTTTTCCAAATACATTTGTCTCTGCTTCTCCCCACCACTTTCCCCTGCCCCCCTCACCCCTCTCCCTCCCTCAGTCCTTTGCCACTTTGGCTTTGTCCATGAGTCCTTGCTATGTGTTCCTTGACTTGCCCCTTCCCTTCCTTTTCCCCCGCCCACACCTCCCTCCTTCCCTCTTGTCTCTGTTGGTTTCTTTTTCTTTCAATGTTGCTGGTCTTATTTTCCTTACATCTTTGTTTTGTTGGTTAGGTTCCGCTTATAGGTGAGATCATATGGTATTTGTCTTTAACCCCCTGGCTTACTTCGCTTACCATAATGCTCTCTAGTTCCATCCATGCTGTCGCGAAGTGTAGTAGTTCTTTTCTTCTTTCTACTGTGTAGTATTCCATTGTGTAAATGTACCATGATTTTTTGATCCAGTCATCTACTGATGGGCATTTAGGTTGCTTCCAAAACTTGGCTATTGTAAATTGTGCTGCTATGAACATTGAGGTGCATAGGTACTTTTGAATTGGTGTTTTGTGATTCTTAGGGTTTAGTCCCAGCAGGGAAATCACTGGATCAAAAGGCAGATCCATTTTCAGCTTTTTGAGGAAATTCCACACTGCTTTCCACAGTGGCTGCACCAGTCTGCATTCCCAAAAACAGTGGACTAGGGTTCCCTTTTCTCCACAGCCTCGTCAGCACCTGTTGTTTGTTGATCTGTTTATCATGGCCATTCTGACCAGTGTGAGGTGGTACCTCATGGTGGTTTTGATCTGCACTTCTCTGATGGCTAGTGATGCTAAGCATCCTTTCAAATGTCTCTAGGTCCTCTGTATCTCCTCCTTGAAAAAGCATCTGCCCAGGTCCTTTGCCTGTTTTATGATTGGATCATTTGTCTTCTTGGAGTGGAGTTGAGTGAGTTCTTTATATATCTTGGAGATCAAACCTCTATCTGATGTATCATTAGCGAATATATTTTCCCATATGGTTGGCTCCCTTTTCATTTTGCTGATGTTTTCTTGAGCAATGCAGAAGCTTCTTATTTTGATGAGGCCCCACTTGTTTATTCTTTCCTTTATGTCCCTTGCTTTAGGAGACATATCGGTGAAAAAATTGCTGTGTGGGATATCTGAGAGTTTCCTGCCAATGTTCTCCTCTAGGACTTTGATGGTGTTGCGACTTATATTTAAGTCTTTTATCCATCTTGAGTTTATTTTTGTGTATGGTGCCAGCTGATGATCCAATTTCAATTTTTTGCATGTAGCCGTCCAGCTCTCACAAGAGCATTTGTTGAAGAGGTTATTATTACTCCACTTTATGCTTCTTCCCCCTTTGTCAAATATTAGTTGCCCATATAGACTTGGACTTATGTCTGGGCTTTCTATTTTGTTCCACTGGTCTATGGGTCTGTTCTTATGCCAGTACCAAGATAGGTTTGAGTATAGTGGCTTTGTAGTATAGTTTGACATCCAGTAGTGTGATCCCTCCTACTTTGTTCTTCTTTCTCAAAATTTCTGCGGCTATTCGGGGTCATTTATGGTTCCATATAAATTTTTGAAATGTCTGTTATATTTCTGTGAAATACGTCATCGGTATCTTAATAAGGATTGCATTGAATCTATAAATTGCTTTGGGTAGTATGGACATTTTGATGATATTAATTCTTCCAATCCATGAGCACGGCATATGCTTCCATTTATTTGTGTCTTCCTTAATTTCTTTCTTCAATGTTGTATAGTTCTCTGTGTACAGGTCCTTTACCTCCTTGGTTAAATTTATTCCTAGGTACTTTATTTTTCTTGTTGCTATATCAAATGGTATTTTTTTTCTGATTTCTTCTTCTTCTGTTTCATTGCTGGTGTACAAAAATGCCTTTATTTATGAACCAGCTCAAAGATAACTATGAGGAACTGCAGAGAAACTATCAGGATCTTACAGCAAACTATATCAACCTGGAAAAGGATATAGAAACTATGAAGAAGACACAAGAGGATATGAAGAATACCATTTCTGAATTGAAGAACACAGTAGAAGGAATCAAAATCAGGCTAGATGAAGCAGAGGACTGAATCAGTGAGATGGATGATAAGGTACAAAAGAGCCCCCAGAAAGAACAAGAAATGGAAAAAAGACTGAAAAGGAATGAAGAGGCAGCTGGGGAAATGCAGGACAACCTGAAATGCGATAATATCTGCATAAAAGGGATACCAGAAGGGGAAGGAGAGGAGCAAGGGATAAAGAACCTCTTTGAAAAAGTAATGATGAAAATTTCCCCAATTTCAGAAGAGAAAAGGTCTCATGGTTCCAGGAAGCACAGAGGGCCCCATTCAAGAGGGACCCAGTGAGGCCACTCCAAGACACATCATCATTAAGATGGCAAATATCAAAGACAAACAGAGAATCCTAAAGGCAGCAAGGAAGAAACAGGGAGTAACATTCAAGGGAGCCCTTATGTGGCTAGGAGCTGACTTCTCAACAGAAACACTACAAGCCAGAAGGGAATGGCAAGAAATATTCCAAGTAATGAAAAACAAAGGCATTCAACCAGGACTGTTCTACCCAGCAAGGCTCTCAATTAAAATGGAAGGTGAAATAAGCAGTTTCCCAGACAAAGGAAGGCTAAAAGAATACACCTCCACCAAATCAGCACTGCAAAATATGCTGAAGGAGCTACTTTAAGATGAAGAAAAAGTTTCTATGAATACCCAGTTCCTTTCAGAGTTGCCAATACTTGATATTAGCAATATTTTTAATACTCATTAATCTGATTGTAACAATGATGTTATTTTAATTGTTCCTTTATTATTTGTTGAAACTAAACCTGTTTTAGTATATTTCTTGCCTGTTTCTATTTTTAAAAAAAAGCTTTAAATGAATTTTGGTATTCTTTATCCATTTATTGATTTAAGGTTTGTAAAGCTTTTTTCCCAAAAACAACAACAACAACAAAAAAACTATGAACCATGTTTTAGACACCTAAAATACTTTTTAGGCACCAAATACTTTTCTATTCTGTTCCTTGTCCTTTAACTTTTTTTATATGTATATTACTATATAGTTAAATGTTTAATATAGTCATATTGTCAATTTTTACTTTATAACTTCTGGGGTTGAATATTTTACTTCAGATCATGAAATATATTCATTCTATTTTCTTCTAAAACTCCTTAGATTCTACATATTGAATTTTAACTCTCCAAAATATTTCTTCTATAATGTGTGAAATAGGGCTCTATATGTGTTTATAGAGTAATAGTGGTCCATGCACCTTATTTGTTGAGTAAGCCTTATTTTACCCATTGATTTGAAATATCAACTTAATCATATATTATATTGTTAGATATATATGTTTATCTCTAGATGCTCATTATATTTCATTTATCTACTTGATTATTTCTGTGCTGGTGTCATGTTGGTTTAATTGCTGAGACTTTATAATGGTTTTAATTTTTTAAATATTTTATAATTAACTTCAACATCTAAAAAAATAAATAAAATCAATCTGCATTTCAGGAAGAAAGAAAGAGAGAGATGGAACTCCTACCTTTTGTGACAACATGAATGGAACTGGATAATATTAATCTAAGTGAAATAAGCCAGCTGATGAAAGACAAATACCATATGATCTCACCTATAAGTGGACTCTTCAACAAAATAAACTAACAAGCAAAATAAACCATAGGCATGGAAACATGGAGCCAACTGAAAGTGACCAGAGGGGATGGGGAAAGAGGACAATGGTGGAAAGAAGCAGAAGGGACTAGATAAAGAACATGTATGAATGACCCATGGATGTGGACAACAGAGTGAGAATTGACTGTTGGGGGGGATGGGTGGAAGGGGGTAAAGGGGTAAAAATTGAGACAACTGTAATAGAATAAACATGATTTATAAATAAAAATAAATAAAAGCAATTAACTAATTAAAAGAAGATGAAAAGTTTACTAGGCACATGATTAATACAGGAGGATGAGAGCTTTGACTGCTACAGAGAGGACAAGAATGAATGGATTAGATTGGTGGGTAAGTAGATGGGTGTTTGGATTTATATGTAGATGGACGAATGAATGGAAGGATAGATGGATACATGAATACATATATAGAAAAAAGGAAGAAGGGAAGGAAAGATATATAGATGTGCAGATGAATGGATGCATGGATAGATGGATGAACATGTAAATATGTGAATGGGTGGATGGGTAAATGGGTAGATGGATGGACTGATATATAGATGGCTAGATGCATGGGTATAGGTGAATGAGGGATTTCCTTTATTCTGTTTTATGTTGGTACATGACGTCAGATATCACCTCATAAGTTTTTATTCTCTCTATAAATGACAGGTGAGATCATTTGCTGAGGTGGGATGGGGAAAGGCAGTTGGTTTGTGAAAGTTTGAGAAGTCTTTTGAGGGTTGAGGGTTCATTTCAGATTGGTAGTCATAAGTAGGACCCATCTATATGGTTTTGAGACCCTTTTCTAGCAGCACCAGGCTACTCAGAGGTACTGTGGAAAAGTAAACAGATCTTTGGGTTCATCCATTGCTGACAATATTCCCAGATGATTTCAATGATAAGAAAAGGGCAATAGTGAACTATATCTAAACTGAACAAGGCATATGCTTATGAATGAGGGAAATCATAGAGGTCAGTGAACTAGAGGTCCCTTTAAAACCAATGAGTGGCCATGCTGAAGCAGTTGAACCAGAGGCTGAATGAGAGAACATGTGGTCAAAAATTGGGATAGGGGAATGCCTAAATCAGTGGTTCTGGAAGTTGAAGGGTCCCAGGTGGCCACAGTTGTAAGAAAGGGTCATGAAGAGGTTATGGCAGCAAGGGCCCATTTGAGACTGGCCATTGGAAGAGCACAAATTTATGTATTCCTTGTAACTTGTGTTTGCCTATTCTTGGACTTGCAATTACCCTTTTTAATTGCTGCAGTTTTATTGCTTTATTTCCTTTATTGAAAATAATTATATACCCTATGGTCCAACAGTTTTACTCCTAGAATCTTTAATCAAGTGAACAAAAACATACATCCACACAAAGACTTGCAGAATGTTCACAGCAGCCTTATTTTTCATAGTCAAGACCTGGACACAACCAAAATACTCATCAATAGGAGAAAGAATAAACAAAGTATGATAGAAACATGGTTGTATATGGCTTATAAGTGAAAAGGAAAAAATACATGGGGCAACACGATGTGAAGTGAAAGAATCCCAACTCAAAAGAGTGCATGTTATATGATCCCATCTATAGGATGGTCAAGATCAGACAAAATCAATCATTGGGATAAAAGACAGACTGCCATTGACTAAGACAGGGTAGATAGCAGGGTGGTAGGGGATTGTCAGAAAATGGTCATCAGGAAACCTCCCAGGGTAATGAAAATGTCCTATAGCTTTTCGGGCGGTGGTTACAACAGCTTATGCAGTTTTCAAAAATCATTAAACTGAACACCTATGATCTGTGTATAAACATTAGTAAAAGGCTATAAATTAATACAAAATGTGTATATGCTAAGCATGAAATGTGAACCAATCCAAAGATAGATAGAAAAGAACCCTCCCTGCCCCATTCCCAACATACACATACAGCCCCTTTGGACTTACCTGGAATAAAGGATTCATGACTGTTTATTTACAAAATTGAAGTCATGTCACCGTGCTTGTTACTCAGCAATTCCTTTTTTATTTAAAAATGCATCACAGTGTCTCTAAATGTCAGCAAATAGGGAATCTGATTTTTTTCACCCAGGAAACAATTCTAAGGAAACTCTGTGTCTTTATTGTCACTACAGGACCATTGTCAAGTCCTTAACACACTTTTCCAGAGGTCATCATCTTCAAGTTAAAGAAACACAGCAGCTTTAAAATCTGTGATGTCACTGGAGAATTTATTCTAAACCAAAAGAACCCACTTGTTTCACATTAACAGGTTTTTAGAAATCCTTCTGTAAGTGTGCATTTATACTTTGTAGAAAAGTAATGTAAAATTCTTCTTTTTTGGGGGGGGATGTGGTATGGCTATTTTGATGATGCTAATTCTTCCAATCCATGAACATAGTATATGCTTCCTTTTATTTGTGTTTTCCTTAATTTCTTTCTTCAGTATTGTGTAGTTTTCTGAGTACAGGTCTTTTACCTCCTTGGTTAAGTTCATACCTAGGTACTTTATTTTTCTTGTTGCTTTAGCAAATGGGATTTTTTCCCAGATTTCTGATTATGATATTTCATTGTTGCTGTGCAAAAATGCCTTTGATTTCAGAATATTGACTTTGTTTCCTGCTATGTTGCCAAATTCACTTATCAGGTAGAGTAGTTTTCGGGTGGAGTCTATGGGGTTTTCTATGTACACTATCATGTCATCTGAAAACAATGATAGTTTTACTTCCTCCTTTTCAATTTGGATACATTTTATTTCTTTTTCTTGACTGATTCCTGTGGCTAGGACTTCCAATGCTATGTTGAATAGAAATGCAGACAACCTTCTCTTGTTCTCGATCTTAGTGGGAAAGCTTTTAGATTTTGCCCATTAAGTATGTTGGCTGTAGGGTTTTCATGTATGGCCTTTATTATGTTGAAGTATGCTCCCTTTATTCCCACTTTGCTGAGTGATTTAATCATAAATGAGTGCTGTAACTTGGCCAGTGTTTTTTCGCATCTATTGATATCATGTAACTTTTGTATTTCCTTTTGTTTATGTCATGTATTATGTTAATTGATTTGTGAATATTGATCCATCCTTGCATCCCTGGGATGAATCCCACTTATTCATGATGGATGATCTTTTTAATGTATCGCTAGATGTGGTTTGCCAGTATTTTTTTTTTTTTTGAGGATTTCAGTGTCTATGTTCATCAGCGATATTGGCCTGTAGTTTTCTTTCTTCGTTGTGTCTTTATCAGGTTTTGGAATTAGGATGATGTTGGCCTCATAAAAAGAATTTGGGAGTCTTTCCTTTTCTTTGATTTTTTGGAAAGTCTGAGAAGGGCAGGGGTTAGCTCTTCTTCAAATGTTTTGTAAAATTCTCCTCTGAAACCATCTGGTTCAGAGCTTTTGTGTGCTGGGAGGTTTTTGATTACTGCTTCTATTTCACCAGCAGTTATTGGTCTGTTCAGGCTTTCTGCTTCTTCTTCATTCAGTGTTGGCAGGTTATATTTTTCTAGAAATTTGTCCATTTCATCAAGGTTTTCAAATTTCTTGGCATATAATTGTTCATTGTAATTTCTTAGAATCCTTTGTATTTCTGTGGTATCAGTTGTTATTTCTCTTCTTTCATTACAGATATTATTTATTTGCATCCTTTTTTTTTCCTTGATGAGCCTTGTTGATAAAGGCTTGTCAATTTTTGTTTATCTTTTCAAAGAACCAGCTCCTGGATTCATCGATCCTTTGAATTGTTCTTTTAGTCTCTATGTCATTTAATGCTGCTCTGATCTTGGTTATTTCCTTCCTTTTGCTTGCTCTGGGCTTTGTTTGTTGTTGTTGCTCTAGTTCTTTTAGGTGTAGCATTAGACTGTTTATTTGAGATTTTTCTGTCTTCTCTAGATAGGCCTGTATTGCTATGAACTTCCTATCAGGACTGCCTTTGCTGTGTCCCATAGGTTTTGGTCTGTTGTGTTCTCATTTTCACTTGTTTTCAGAGACTTTTTGATTTCTTCTTTGATCCTCATTATTGACCCATTCATTGTTTAATAGCATGCTATTCAGTCTCCATGAGTTTGAATGTTTTTGAGTTTTTCCTTGAGGTTGGTTTCTAGTTTCAAAGCCTTGTGGTTCAATATAATGCTTGTTATGATTTCAATTTTTTTAATCCATTGAGGCTTGTTTTGTGTCCTATCATGTGGTCCATCTTTGAAAATATTCCATGTGCACTTGAGGAGAATGTGTATTTTGCTTCTTTGGAATGAAAGTTTCAATATATGTCAGTTAAGTCCATTTGATCTAATGCATTGTTCACTTCCACAATCTCCTTGTGATGTTTTGTTTGAAGATCTACCCATTTTTTTCAAAAGTGGATCTTTTTATTAATGTAAATAAAATGCCAGGGGAAGATATGTCAGCAAGGGAAAATCCATATATTCCCTCACCAAGCTAGTGGCACAAATTTTTTTTCAATTTATTTTTATTTTTATTTTTTTAATTTATAAGTCATGTTTATTCTATACAGTTGTCTCAGTTTTTCCCCTTTTACCCCCTCCACACACCCCACCCCCAACCCCCACTCCCACAGTCAATTCCCACTCTGTTGTCCACGTCCATGGGTCATTCATACATGTTCTTTGTCTAGTCCCTTCCCCTTCTTTCCACCATTGTCCTCTTTCCCCATCCCCCCTGTTCACTTTCAGTTGGCTCCATGTTTCCATACCTGTGGTTTATTTTGCTTGTTAGTTTACTTTGTTGAATAGAGTCCACTTATGGTGAGATCATATGGTATTTGTCTTTCACAGACTGGCTTATTTCACTTAGCATAATATTCTCAAGTTCCATCCATGATGCTGCAGAAGGTTGGAGTTCCATCTGTCTCTCTCTCTCTTTATTTCTTTTCTACTTAAATGCAGATTGATTTTATTTATTTTTTATATGCCAAATTTAATTATAAAATATTAAAAAATTTAAGATCATTATAAAGTCTCAGCAACTAAATCAACATGACACCAGCACAGAAATAATCCAGTAAATAAATGAAATATAATGAGCATTCTAGAGACAAACATAAATATCTGTCTAACAAGGTAATATATGGTTAAGCTGATATTTCAAATCGATGGGTAACATAAGGCTTATTCAAGAAATAAGGTG